CCAGAGCAACTAGGTGCTTTTGGTGTCGAACACTACTTAATTTGAATATGACGATTATCTTTATCCGATTGTTAATATTATTGGTACAGATTTATATTATGGATCTTATTTCTTGTCAAAAGAACCGTTAATACCATCGTTAAAAAGAAAAGGACCGGATCGATAAGCCCAAGTGTCGATATAAGAGTAGTACAGTTAAAACCTTAACGATCCGAATAATCGATTAATGTTTCATTAATCCGACTAGATTAGAATCGATTAGTCAAGATTACGCTCCCGCTTGTCTGCATCGCCCCTAGAGTTGCCGAGTTCAAATCCGCCTGGGAACACCAACTACTAGTGTGCCCGTTGGAGTAAGGCCACTTACCTCGCTTTTACTCCAGGGAGAACTGTCCCTGTGGAAATTGGTCATTGTAAGTCGCTTTGGATACAGCGCGGTCCTGCTAAATGCCTACATTGCAAATTATACTTTTTGGGGAGAAATGGAAATCCCACAGATCGCTCCAACTCCGGTGTGTTTCAAGAACGTCGGGGGGGGGGGGTTGGGCGCGCTGCGGTGCCCCCACACAATAGCACGAGCAAATTCTGTGCGCGGAAAACCTGATACCCGTTTATAACTTATTACTATATAGTTCATCTTTAAAATGCCCTTATTCGGTGCGAAAACCCCACTCTTGTTTCAGTTCTACGGCCATGCTGTTGAGCACCAAGCGAACCCAAGGGCTGGAGAGGACTCTTTAAAGAGAGACACTACATACTGATATATTCCCCTGAACATCCCAGCAGGACGAGGACTTCTTAAAGTAGAACACTAACATACTGATATACACCTGAACATCAGCAGGAGGCGACTCTTTAAAGTAGAGACACTACATACTGATTATACACTGTAAAATCAGCAGGAGAGGACTCTCTGTAAGTAGATACACTACCATACTGAGTATACAGGGCGCGTGAACATCAGGCAGGAGAGGACCTTAAAGTAAGAGATACTACATACTGATACTACGCACCTGCCTCACACGCCACGTCGGGGCCGCCAACTAGTAGATGTAGTGCGTCAAGACCGCCCACTCTAATTTTAAATACATATGGGTGTATAACCTTTGTTATCGTCGCAGGCCCTATAACTGTTCTTTTCTAAAGAAGGGGGATGTAACATCTGGGTGAATACAAGATCTATCGCGCCTAGCAGAGACACGTGGATGACGTTCATGATGTGGGTCATGTTACGTCCCAGTGGAAATAAAGATGGACACTTCGGAATGATAGAAGTAGTCCGCTTCATCTGTTTACGTAGACACTTACATGTCATAGACAGGAATATTACAACAGGACAGGTAGGCCATCCAATCATTTTATGGATGGCCTACCTGCCTGATTTTTTTTTAATGTAATTTAATCTGTCAGAAGCATTTAAATATATTAATTGCTATCGGCGATGTTAGAGGGTGGGGTATGTAATCTTATCAGAAACACTTTTTGGTTATATTGCCAGCTGCGGAAGCCTCGTTAACATCCCATAGCAATGAATACAGTTAAAGCTTCCGAAAAAAAATACATTATACAACAGTTCAGTCTGTGGAAGCCGTGGCGCTGTGAAAAAAGCACGACCAACTCATCTGAGCTGGCCCGGCTACAATAAACTGGATGCCTGACAGGAAGGGGCAGATTTCTAATCGGGCTGCCGTACTTTCAAATCACCGCCGCACTCGAGCTGGTTTCCTCCCATTCTTAATCTCACTACCTCCTTTAAGTAAAACACGTCCTATACGTACTTGATATTGAGTGTAACCAAAAGTAATCAGTTACATACATTTGTACTAGGTGGATTAGATTGTATTCACCTATACTTATTTGCTAACGGAATACATTCTACAAGTTCAAACCCCTGCCATGAAATAGTTTCACTACTAGTAACTTGAATGACGGGTAATCCAAAAGTACAATCAAGCTTACATTAGATTTTATATGACTTAGGATTGTATTCACCATATAGCTCATTGTAACGGAAATACATTCTTAAAGTGTCAAACCCCTGCCACATGAATAGTTTCACACTGTATATGGAATGTGTAATGTGCAATTGCCATTTTTATAGATTTTTTTTTTCAGAAAGGTCTAAGGTCCCCCCCAAAGTTAAATACTTTTCTTTGATAGAACCAAAACACGTTTGTTCATGTTATTAATTTGTTTATATATAACTAATGTGAGTTGTTGAATGGTCATTTCTTATATTGCGTAGTATGTTTGACTTACCTTGTCTCACTTTCGTGCCCGCTATGGTTAGCGAGGCCACAACTAAGGCCCAATAATGCGATAATGTGTTTAATCATCATTCACTGATACGATACGACATTACTTTGTTACGTTAGACCCAAGTCCTGAAATTTGACTTGCGTCACACGCAGCTCATGTCCAACACCAAGAATACATGGAAACAATAAAACAATTTAAATACACAGAACAATCAGTGAGAGAAAAGCTGCTCAAAGAGCTTCAGCCTAATTGCCATTAGGTGTTGCGTTTATCCCTAAATATTTAGTGATGATATGAACCAGATTGGCCACAGCATCTTCCGTACCGCACCCTTGTTTATAGGCAAATCCAGTTTGTCTTGTGTTGTACTGATAAGAAGTCGGAGCAGAATTCTTTCTCGTGATTTCATAATCACTGAGGGCTATTGGTCTGTAGTCCTTATGTTCGTCCGTTATGAGCTACTTTAGAAACATGGCGGTGCAAAGATAACTCAAATGAAGAGGATCATGTAGACAGTAATTGCTCCCTCATAGCTATTGAGAACACAATTCTTAGTTTCAGCTGACTATTGATTTTGCTTTCAGTTTCCGCTAACAGAGTTTTGTTCATAAAGTTGCCACCTGTGAATTTCAAATGCACTCAGGTATAGGAGCCTCAGTTCATTTTCCTACATCTTTATTACCAAAAAGCTTTTGGGTGTAATTACAGCAGTCTCTACTAAATGACAATAGTAGCTTTCAACAGTAGTCCCATCATCACAGCAGAGCATTTATAAACTGAAGTAGAGGTTATTCCAGTCACAGCAGGAAATGTCCGTGACGTCAGCGCTGCTTTCCCTTCTGCTTTACTGCTCTCTAACGTCTCCATGACAATTTGGTTCTCAGTATTCATCTGCGGTGACTGAGAGACTACACCACGTCTGAAGTCACAGTCAGTGAGCTGGAAGCAGCCGGTGATGCTGCTACTCTCAAAGTGTATCAATAAGAACCACAGAATGAGAAGGGAATCATGGGACAGTAACTAAAGTGGACACACAGGTAGTAAACAAAGCAGGCACAGAGACAAACAGTCAGGACACACACATACAGTTCCAGAAAACTGAGAGACACGTGTGTGTGTGTGATGGCGTAGTTTCAATTAAAAAACAATTGTTCTTGGAATGTTCTATTTCTAATAACGAAATGTCCACACACACACACACACACACACACACACACACACACACACACACACACACACACACACACACACACACACACACACACACACACACACACACACACACACTCAACCTACAGTGTATCATATCATTTCACCTCATCTGCTAAAATGATCTAAAGAATACAATAACAACAAAAAACACTTCACTTTACAAGTATTGATCTGGATTTTAGGTATCAACAAACATTTTTTTATTTAAGGCAAAGTTTTAGTCCAGAAGTCTTCTAAACCTTTCCCCTGTTTATAAAATCTAACGTCATGTACAAATGTTACAGGTTTAATAATTTACTTTGTTGCATATTGACATGTGCTTTATGCTGGGAAGGTGAGAGGTTAGCAATTCCAGTCAAATCTTCATTCTCCAGTGTTGCATCTTCCTCATCATCATCTTCATCATCATCATCGTTTTAGTGCTTTTTAGGAATGTCTTTGCCTCCGTCATGAACAATGCAGGAGGGATGGGTTAGTGATTACAGACAGCAGTACAGTCAAGGGTCAAATCAGTAGAATTAGCATAACAATAACTAATTTATTTAACACCGACTGTCTCCTTAATGTCTTCCGCCTCCTCATCTTTTCTTTGTTTAATGGGCTCAAAAAATGCAGCAAGTATTTATAAATCCTCCCAAGAGTGGTGATGAAAACACTAAAAGCTAAATGTGTCTCCATTTGAATCGGACTCATTGTGCATCATTGTGTGTGATTGAAACATAGTTCAGTTAAATGTGTGTGAAAGATGAACATCTTGTAATAATCTTGCTGCTTTTAATAAAGGGACAAGAGGTGTTTCATATATCTCTTTGTTGATGTGATTACATTCAAATGAGTGATTACAAAGTGAGTATGTCAGACGGTGTTGTGAATAGAGTCAAGAAGCTTCAGAGGACATAATAGAGCAGTGCAGGAATCACAAATCCTCAAACTTAGAAATGAGCCTTTCTTGAATGTGTTTTTGGTTAGATGCCTGAAATGAATGTCAGTAAATACCACACTGTTGAATGTCTGAAGCGTTAGCATGTCATAAGAAACGATAGTAGCTACATGAGACTACTAAATGGCATCAGGCCGAACATTAGCCGCCTTTAGTTTAGCGGTTACCGTGTGCAGCCATGCCATGTTGTAGTTGGTGAAGATGTTTCTTTATTTGCACGTGCTTTGGCACATTTGTGTTTTTAAATTTGCATCCTTTGTTAGAAATGCCAGCGCATTTCTCCTAATGGGCGTTTTTTATGCTAATGCACATTTGCACTTGTCGGCCTCCGTAAGGATCCCTTGCAATGACAATTTCTGGCCTTTAAATTTTTTTTATCCTTGCGCCACTCAATAGAACATGTGCTCGTATGAAGTGATATATGTATGGCGCACCAAAGTTCCAGAGTGACCAGAGACACTTGAGCTGAGGACAAAATCATCTGTTCACTGACTGGAGAATCGAGCAAACACTTGGTTTTTCAGCTATTATACAACCCCCAACTGCTGCCAGAGCTAATTCATTCAATGCAAACTCTCCTCTCCACAGAGGGTCTGCACTCTCTGGGTCTCTCCCTCTCTGTCGTGCCGTACTTACAACTGTCCGGCTCACTTAGCATGCAGGGGTACACCCTCGCAAAAACACAGTGGTTCACCCTGTGGTGTGTGTGTGTGTGTGAATTAAGTCCAGCTCAATGGTTAGCGAGGCCCCAACCAAGCCCCTCAAGGACAATTCTTCCGTCTGTATATATCATTATATATATTTATATACACATGTGTGTGTGTTGGTGTGTGTGTTTGTGGAACTAGTGTTGGCTCGGGCACAACAACATTTCCAGTAAAGTGTTAGCGTGTTGCATGCTGGGACAGAGTCTAAAGATGGAGGGAGAAAGACTGTAATTTAACTGGGAGCAGCCCTGCCCGTCATTTTTTGTCTTTCCTTCCTCAAGTCACTGCTTCCACTTTTATATCTGTCCATCCCAGCATCCATCAGTGTTCTCAATAAAGCTCCACTCAACCCCTTCCTCCATCACTTGCTTCTACTCTCTTTGCTTTAACCCCCCTCTCCCGCTCCTGTATTCCAGTGTTTGTTTTAGATAATTGAGGCGAACAGAAAAAGGAGGAGAAATCCGATACATTCAGTTGCTTCTGTTTGTCTTCACTTCAGTCCAACCACTGTTTTTAAAGATGGTTTGTTTCGGGTTGATTCCAGGTAAACCCCAGCAGGTCAAAGAGTTCCAGCTCATAGACTGAGCCCACACTTGGTATTCTTGTCCTCTGTACCTGCAGTCTTTAAGTGTTATGGATTCTCAGCTCCAATCTCCATTTCTGTATGTGTTCAAGTCTTTAAAAAAATGTGATCATCTGGTCAAAACATTCAATATTAAAAAACAGCCAGTTAATGCAACACCTTTGGAAAACCCATGGTGTGGACTGGAGGCTGCTTGTGATTACAGTGTACAATGTACTCCAGCATCATCAGAGACCATCTATAGTGTTGGTGTGTTCATATAAAATCCTTCCATAGTGCATCCACCTCAGACAGATTCAGCTTTTGATTCAATAAATAAATGGTTTCCTTCAAAATGTGGCTTTGTTTTCCAGGTTTTAAAAGTTGCATCTTCTTATCCAATGGAGTTCAACTTTGTCGAACTTTCAGCAGGTATGTCGCATGATCAAGCAATGCATGTGTGACAGCTCTTGGACTTATTTCCAGTTGAATTGGAGCAAAGAGTAGACTTCCAAGAGTTGAAGCATTTATCTACATTTCAGAGGCTGATAGCTTGTGTCTGAGGGTTTGTAAAGCTCCAATGATCAGCCCCAGCAGTCTGTATCCAGTTCCAGATTTGAGCCACACTGGTTCTTTGGGTTGGCGTTCAGACACAGCCATACTCATACCACACAGTCTGAGGGTCGTTGTTGGGATCGGGGGACGAAGGCGTGCTTTTGGGCCGTTCCACAGATCCACACCCTGCCTGCTCACTCTCCTTCTCTACATGGGAGGAGTCACCTGACATTAGCCCCTCCCCTTTTACTGAGGGTTCTTCAGGCCGCATGGCCGACACAGCCCTGACAGGGGTGACCATGGCAACCTCAGCCACATTGTGGTAGGTGGAGGACGGGGTGGGGCCGTTCCGAGAGACAGGAGTCCTCCCCCTCTCTCTTTCTGCGTGTCTCTCTGTCTGCAGATTGAGAGAGGTGGAATGGTGAATGGGAAGATTCAGGAAGCTGCTGTCTGCAGGCTGATTGGTTGGGCCAGCCAGCCGAGCAGACAGAGGGCGTTCCCTCCCGTTAGCCCCTGCCCCTGGTCTGCGGACAACCCCATCTGATTGGCCGTCATTTCCATGGAAACTGTCTGGTCCGTTTGAGCGCAACAAATCAGCCGAGGCCAGGCTGTACGCCCTGCTCAGTGATTGGCCGGACCTCTGGATGACGGTCTGGCCCGAGGCTGGTGATTGGCCCACAGGCTGGCGGGGCAACGGCTTGACGCTCTGTCCCGGCCTCTGGTTGGATGCCTGTACAGTGGGCGTGACATAGCTGGTAGGAGTCTGATCTTTGCCAGGGGGACCCGAGGGGGCGGGACTTCTGGTGAAGTAGTCAGTCATTAAGTCCTCCTTGCTTCCTGTTGACACCTAGACAAAGGAAAAAACAGAGTAATAAAAAATAAAAAGGTAGAATGGTATTTTATCAAAGGGGTTAGCTAACAAAAATGTCGAAGTGGTGGCATGCCACTGCTCCATGGAACACATCAATTCCATTCAACTCCAGCATATACTGACTGATAACGCCAACTGACATACGCTATCTGACTGTTGGAATGCCACTGCTGTGTGAATACTACTCGTTGTGCTACTCGTGTTCTACTGACATGTGCCTCTGGTAATCAGTATCTAAAACAATGACCATGACTTGAATCAAGTTGTGAGGGGTTCTTGGGTCAACACATGTGCTGTTTGGCTAAAGTTGAACCAGTAACCCGCCTCCTGTCCTTTGTTTAGTATGCATACCCTGTCACCTCCATGTTCCCAGAGAACATTACTTAGATAACCAGGGAGTACTACCCAGGAAACAAGTAACTGGTGTCATGCATATTACACACAATGCCATTACAGTTGGCCATTCTGTAGCCGACCCGGCAGATGGTCACAATCTACCCTACTTGTACTACTCGAAAATGAAATGTCATCGCTTCATAGTTGACCCTATTAGTCATAGACTAAGATACCCAACTGTAGAACAGCTGTGATAGAAGCACAACAGTAGAAGGGAATTAATTCCCATGTCTTTTAACTGCGTCTGCATTATAATCATGCTTTTTTTGCAGGTATCTCACCGTCTTCAGCGATGATTTTTTTTGACCATACTGCAAACATTTCTTACCATAGGAGGTGACTTCAGGTTGCTCTCACATAGAAACTCTTCCAGGGTCAACATGTCCTTAACAGGAGAAGACGTACAAGTCTTACTCCGAACCCCAACCCCACGTTGTGGTTGAGCCCTCTTGGGCACGTGGTCATATGGAAGGGTGGAGCTACGTGACAGAGCCAGTTGTGATTGGCTGAGACCCGTGACATCATCACTGGAGAGGCTGGCTGAGCGAGTCTGGCGATCTGATGGGTCTAATAAGAAAAACATTTATTATTACTGACTGAACCTAAAACTACAATCAGATGAATACAGGATTCACTGTCTGTTAACCGTATGTACATTTCATTATGATCTACTTTAAGTAATGTACATTTATTTTATTATCATTTAAAAATATATATATTTTAAGTAAAGTATAATTATTTTTAACACATTTGTATATATATATATTTAATAATGATATTTTTTAAATATCTCTTTTCAGTAATGTATATTTATTTTTCAATTTTAATTATATTTCAATATCATCTAATTTCAGTAATGTATATTTGTTTTTAAATGTTTTAAATGATATTTTGATGATATTATATTTTTACAGTAATTTAAATTTAATAATATTAATTGTCCTACAACAAATGTTGAAAGTATTTCTTAAATACTGTTTAAATATACAGTATTTCAACATTTGTATTTAGAATGTAATACTTTTTTCCATTTTCAGTAATGTTTATCTACATTTATAATGCTTTATTAAAATGTAATACAATCATTCATCTTTTAGTTATATATAGAGATTTTTTATACATTTTTATTAGAGTTTGATAAAATAATGTATTTTCAGTAATATACATTTATTTGTACACATTGGGCTGAATATGACTTTAGATTTAAGTGTACAAATACACAGTGTGTACCTCTACAGTTGACGGGTGAGTTGGAGCTTGAGGTGTTGTGGCTGAAGTCTGCCGACCCCGGGCGACCTCCCGTGTTGCCATGCGGACTAAATATGGAGTCAGAAGTGTTGTGGCGAGAGTCTTCATCAAATAACAGACCTGAAAAAATGTACACACTTTAAAAAAATAAACTTTAAAAAATGGCTTCTAAATAAGGTTACTTCTGAACCAGCGGGCTGACCTCTGGGCCGGCGGGCCGGGGCTCCCAGTCGGGGTTTGTTAGGGAGGCCCAGTGAGGGAGACTGATGGCTGGGAGTGGAGCTCAGAGCTTTGTGGGCAGGACCTGGGGGGAAACACAAACAAACAGAATGTTAATATGATCATCATTCAATTCAGCATTTGATATAAAGACTTGCTATCAAAATATATTCCTTTACAAAATATGTCAAAAAACTTTGAACAGGAAGCATTGGAGGACAAGGGACATTAGGGAAATTGACAAGGGAAACCTTTGACAAGTACACTTTAAGGTTTGAAATCAAGAAAGATCAAACTAATCACTATAAACAGATATCTATATATAATAATAATAATAATAATACATGCTATTTGTATAGCGCTTTTCCTGGTGCTTATATTATATGAATGCAGAATATGTATATTTAGTATGGGAAGCATTCATGTTTTCGTGACAAGAAAACCCATTTAAGCAGGCTTTAGCATGTAATTGGCCCGTTTAATAAGCAAAACAGCCGTAACACATTGGTCAAAATGCAACCCTGGAACTCATTGGCTATAGCATGACGTTACATTGACTTTTTAATGCAGATATCTGCACATAACAAATTCTGAGGCTAAATGATATGTAATGAGTCTCTCAACACCAACTAAATGCTTGCTTCTCAAATTGCTAATCGGACTGTTACAGTGACCAGCACAGAGAAGAGGAAGGTTGCGTTCGAATAGTCCATTTAGCTTAGGAACCTTCCTAACCGAGTGAAATGACCCGGAAGTCCCTCAGTGGCAGCCATGATAAGTGCCGTTCGAATTCTCTAGAATGATAGGAAAGGAGGTTTCTAACTTCCTTTATAACCTCCTTTAGCTTAGGAACCACTGGACCTCCCTAACCGAAAGGAGAGGAGAAAATGCTGCCCCACAATGCCTTGCAGCCGCAGCATTTGCCGTCACACAACAGTCGGCCGTTCACGGACACAAACGATTATGACGGAGAAATTATATCATGAAAGTTACGGTGCTTATTAAGCATTTTAAAACGTATGTGGTAAGTTGCAAAAGTGCTTTGTTTTGAACGTTCATCAGTATTATAATCAAAAAGAGAAATATGAACGTTAGTTTTTACTGAAATGATCAAATAAAGTCAACATTTCACTGAGCTGTGTGGGGTTTGATTTCACTGAGCTGTGTGGGGTTTGTTCAACTTTTAAAAGATGTTTGAATGGTGATATGTGACCTGCTCTATCGAAATCAGTCGCATTGACCCGAAGACACATTTTGAGTTGTATACACTGCTGGAAAGAGGGTATTCCTAGCTTTCTAATGATATCAGGATTGTTTTTGTACTCCAAATATTAAGCGAAATATGTCACATTATATAATGACTGTCACCGAGTCATCATTTTGAGAAAAAGGCCTTCAAAGTTTTCTCTTCTCTGGAATCCATCGATCTTATTGATTATTAGCGGAGCAAATGATCAAAATACTACGGAGGGAAGATATTTTCGTTTGGATTGCTGGTCTGGGAGAAGCTCGCGAGTGTGTGTGTGTGTGTGTATACGTGTGTGTGTGTTTGTG